CTATCAAGTTTGGTTTAATAGTTGTTGAGATATTTTAATTTAAAGTCTAAAAAAAATTTATATAGAAACAATTTGCCATATAATTATCTTTGGTAACTTACTATATAGCAAATTTGTTTATTGAAATATACTGTATCTATACAAAATCATAAAAAAAAAAACAATTATTATAAAACGCACCTATGGTGTTTTAGCACTATATATAATTGTTTTAAATAAATTTTAGGGGTAAGGTTTGGGTATTAAGAATTTTTTTTTTTTATATAATATAATATAGAGCTAATAGGTCTGATCTCAGTTTTTATGAGGTTTTTGGGTGTCCTGAACATTTTTACTTAAAGTACCTGATTCCATTTACTTAGTATATTTTTGAGAAATAGGGACCTATGGTGTAAAACACCATAGGTGCGTTTTAGTAAAATTCAATTTATTTTATTTTAAATTATTTTTTATTTGACTTTTACTAAAACGCACCTATGGTGTTTTACACCTATGTATATATTATCTCAAAAACTGGCTAATTAATCAACGCAGGATATCCTAAGTAAAAATGCTCTAAAGCCCTAAAAACCCTTCTTAAACCCTAACCCTAACTTTAAAACTAACATTAACATAAAAATTTTGTGTTGAAAATTTTTATATTTAAAACTTAAAAAAATCTAAAAAACATAATAAAACATATGATAGGTGCAAAACCACCATAGGTGCATTTTATAATAAATGTTTTATTTTATAGCCGCGAAATAGTGCATAGGGAATTATTTCGAATTTCGGCCTGAATTAAGCTTAATTTAGGTCGAAATTCGAAACTACACCCCATCGCGTTATTTCGTGGTTATACGGTATTTTTTAATTTTTACTTTTTTTATATATTCATTTTACCGGGGGACGCCAAAGAGGGGGGTGATGTTAACCGAAAAATTAACTTGTTCTGAGGATCCATGAGATAAAAAAATAGAAATTTATATCATACTGTATAATAGGAAAAAATTCAGAAGGTTTTTTGCTTTGTACATATATTATACGCTGCTTTACCGATTTAAACGACGCGTAACATTATCGGTAGTCTATTTATTACATTAAATCTTAGGAATCACCCTGAGTCATTTTTCAATCGAAACCAACATCTGTTTAGTTTTAGAGGTCTAATTGATTATTACATTTTCATGCTATTTTATTTATCAGGCTTACAATAATATATTTTACAGCTTTTACAGTAATAAAAATTTTATATGTAAATTAATTACCGTATAATATGTATCAAGTACATGATTCAGTAATTACAAGTTATATATGCATAAGAGATTAGGTTAGTAAATAATTTATTAGTTATAAATAATTAGAAATTTGATACTACAGTACCTTCGTTCCTGGTTTCCGGCGCAACTGCGTTACGCAGCTATATGGTTAATATGACATTTCAAGCGATAGTTATCCGCAAATCTTGCACCTAATTGACCTGAAGGACATTCATCATCCATTATTCATTTTCACATAATTTCGTCACGCCTTTGTCACGCCTTATATCGATACATAGTTGCAATTTGTACTATTCAATCATGTGTATGGTAAACAGAATATGAAACTAAAACGCAGATGTGACTATACGCGTAGGTGCAATTACAAATGCTATAACAAATGATGATTTTTAAATATCGGTGGCCTGATCAAATCTTTATATCTATCACTGGATTTCTTTTGGAATTTTTTAGTTTTTTTGCAGGATCTTTTATTGGGTTGATGAAATGATAATCACTAATCGTAAAATGTAAGCGAAGAATTTAATCATGATAGAAAAATGCAAAATATGTAATCTCTTCTGACCTTACCTTATAATCACTTAGCGTAATTGATGATTTTTTTATTACCCTAGGTTTGATAATATTAATGCAGTTAGCCCTGTTCGAGTAGAGCTAAAAATTGCAATTCATATTGTAATTTTATTCTCTAATATGAACTATATTGATCTTTTTACTCCACATTGATACAACTTAATGAACAGAGTACACTTTTCTGGTGACTACGTATTGAAACATTTCTAATAATGTAAAATGTATTACTTTTTTTTCCCTCCTCTCTTGCTTGTTTCTTTATTACCACCTCCGGGTGTATACGTCATTTCTGTAACAAATAACGATGCTTTAATCTTATCAGGAGGTGTACAAAGGCCCGATTCCATAACATATTCATGCAAATCATTTAAACTTTTTAGAATCATTTCCTATAGCAATACAATAAGTTTAGTTTGTATATACAAGAGCTAATGAAAAAAAAATGCCAAAAATAAAGACGTATACTTTGAATAAAATAAATATCGGTACGCATTGACGCATCTGCGCTATGTTGACTCGACTCGTCGGTAATTGTGATCTTATAACTTCCCTAAATACATATAGTTCTCGGAACGGGACAGTCATTTCGTATACAATTACATTGTGATCTATAATTATTTAAAAATTAATAATAAGACAAAAACAAATTTATTATTAAAACTGAAATATTTACCATATACTTGCAAGCCGTAAACTTTCAACAAACTGAAAATTGAACTATTTCCACCGTAAACTCGAACTATCCTATTTAGCATTATTTTTAACATTTTTCCGATCTTAATCTTGTCAGTAAAAAAATGGGAATGCTGTCGTTGGTTAGGAGGTCCGCTAACTTCGCAAATAGCAAACTCGATTTTTGGAGGCTTTGTCGCCCAGACAGCATCGATCTTTCGTCCCGGATTTCGGTCTTCTGCATCATCCTTTTTTAGATCTGCATCTTCGGCTGATGCATATAAGCATACCTCACCACTTAGTAGATAACAAATTGATAGTTATCTAATGATTATTAAAAATAAAAAATTAAAATGATATAATCTATTACTTACAAAAAGAGATCAAGATCTGTATTTTTTTTTCGAAATAAACTTCGAATTATAGGTGTTAAGAAAATTTCTCGATACATCCTTTCCGACATATTAGGATGCAGAAGATCATTCCCATGATCAAAAGAATTAGCACTACAAAAGGGAACAAAAGTCAAATATACGGGTGTCAATAAAACTTTTTATAGGTATTAACTAAAATAGTGCATACAGATGGTATGCAAAATCCCACACAAATTCTTTACTTTCATCATCTCTTGTTGAAAAAAAGCTTTCATTGACTGCTTTTCGAAAATCAGATGCCTATCATAAAAGACTTGTTAATTAGACATTTTTGAAAGACAATCAATGAAGTTATCGATTACCTTGACTATTTTAACGATTAATTCTTTGATTTCATCATTATTAACATTGGGTAGTTCCGGAAGATCAAAAGACTTTATTTCTTCATATTCAGATTTCGATAGTGACTTGATAAAATCACTATTTGTTCCTGGTGTGAGGTCAATAATATCATAATATCCAAGGCTAATTGTAACATAATGATAATTAATGCACCATTACTTTGATGTTTTGTAAAATAATAATACTGCAACTTACTCATTATGAGACGTTCCTTTTTGGATTTCCATTTCTTTAATGATTCACGAACGTTTACCTTACCAGAACCAATAATCCATTCTCCATTTCCAACGAGGCTTTCTTTGGCCAAGGTTTCGAACGTTTGATCAATTATCGCGGCCTGTTGCAGTATATAAGTACAAAATGTAAAAACATAAGCTTTCATCTGAAAAGAATGTCCGGATTTCTAAAAATTACCTCAATATTTTGGGTAGAATCAACAATAGACTCCTCATTTTTGTCTGAATTAACGGTTTGTGGTATTGAATTCGATGTTGATGATCTAGGACTTCCAGTACTAAGGGATGGATCATCATCGTTTCCCTTTCCATCCACATTCTATATAAACACAATAGATAAATTTTTATCCGAAAAGAATACAAGATTTCTAAATATTACTTCGGTAGATTCAACAATAGATTCCTCAATTTCGGCTGAATTAATGGTTTGTGGTATTAGATCTGATGTTGATGATTCCAAATTAAGACTTTCGGCACTAAGAGATAGATCATCATCGGTTCTATTTTCATCCGCATTCTTGTCATCATTGGAGAGAAAAGTGGGTGATTTTTCACCTATTTCACTGTCATCATCGGAGAGAAAAGTGGGTGATTTTTCACCTGTTTCATCCGCATTATTGTCATCATCGGAGAGAAAAGTGGGAGATTTTTCACCTGTTTCACAAAATTGACCATCTTCACTACTGTTATTATCGTCGTTGTACTGTTTGTACACAAGAGTAATCAATTAATAATAATGGTAAGAATTTTAGTTAATTAACTATAAACCTAATAATAATGATCACCTTGTCAGTTTTAACACGTTTTTTTGATCTTTCGATACTAGGTCTTGCAGTCCGTTTATCCTTCTTGAGGATATAAAAATAATATAGTTATATATTTGGTCTGTTTTTTACCTTAAAGAAAAACATCGATTACAAGATATTTACAAATTCAAATTCTTTCATCAATTTTGTATCTGAAGCAGTTTCCCATTTATCATTTATATTCTCAATTTTCATTGATTCTTTATATAATAATCTTCTGGATTCGAATTCAATCTAAAAGAATAAAATACTTTTAATCTTGTTAATATGCTAAATTTCATTTAAATCATTTTAACTTACTTTCTTTTCTATTATCTCAAGTAAATTTTTGATTTCATTCCTTTTAATGGTTTTATCGAAAGAAGAACAAATGGAAGTAGCTCTCTTTCGTGCTTGACTCAACAAATTTCGTTGGTTACCCATTGATTTGACTTTAATTTTTATAGCTTCAAGAATTGCTTCTGGACTATCACAATCCATAATTTCATAATCTAATATGTACTGAAGACATGCGTTTACTGACCATTCATTGTATGGCCTATCCTTGAAAAAAGATGAGATGACCTCAAAATATAACAAAAAGAATTAATAATGGGTTCATATATTTAAAAGAGCAAGTTAAACTAGTGATACTACATCGACAAGATGAGATCTGGTAAAGAACCCGCTAAGAGGTGTACACTGAAGGAATTCAGCAAGTGCTAAATGCGTTCAGGTAGACATTAAGGAGTTTCTTTCCAAGCATCGGCCATATGTGATACACAGGAAAAATGTGTGCATGGCATATGGGCGTAGGATGTCATCAAGTCCGGCTATTCTGGTAAAGAACCCGCTAAGAGGTGTACACTGAAGGAGTTAGCAGGTGCTAAACACGTCCAGGTAGACATTAAGGAGTGTCTCTCCAAGCATCGGTCATATGTGACCCAACCTGTGACATATGAGCGTAGGACCGTTTGATGTAGTTATAAATTGTGTACTAACTTTATTAACTTTATTCGACATAGTCTTGATCTCGATTTAAGTTGCGTGTAAACTGAAATTAAAAAACCGCGTTAGTACCTTTTTTTTTAAATGTTGGATCAGGTGTAACGTGAAATTCACGTTTTTTTTAAACAAAAAATGCGCGGCAGATCCTCAATTTTGATTGGCTAAGAGCGACGATCAAAAAATTAGGCCGGAATTACTCATAATTTTACTAATGAAATCGCAGCCGCCATTAAGTGAAAATTGTTCCTGGGTCAATTTTACCATACATAATGCGGGCCGCGCATTTTTTGTGCGGCACAATTGTTAACAAGATCATACGCATAAATTTTTATAATTCTGATCAGAATTTTTCATTGGGGTTTACAATATACGTACTGGTACTAATTAATCAAAACTCAGGTATTGTAGTTAATCATGAATATAATAAATTACCCCGTTAATGGTAAAAATGGACAATTTAGGAATTTTACCCATGCCCAAGACTTCGTGCCGATGCCTTATCTATGCTTTTTGTTAGGCGTGAGTTGTTTGTTTGTCATTTTTCCTAAATTCGAAATTTCTTATATACATAACAAAGAATCGACTAAGTCAATTTTTTAAAAAATCGACTGACTTAGTCGGCTAAGTTGATTTTATCAACTAATGTTAAAACTGACTACTACAGGGTGGTTCGACTGTATTTAGACACCAAATATTAATCGTTTAGCTAGTATTTGGATATGTACCAAATACACTAGTATATTCTGGTAAACATGTTTGGTTTAGTAAAAATATATATTGTACAACAAAAGTTTAATATAAAACAATGATTTTATTAAATCATGAATTTTAAACATAAATATAAACAATTTTAAACAATTTTACTAATACATTTTTAACAGAATTTTGTATACAATATGAACAATTTTATATCTTATTCATTCTTGTTTCTTCTGAGACTTAAGAACCGCCTCCCTCCCGAATCAGATTCTTCTGTTGAATGCCTGGCTGAATCCCCGTTCATACTTTTTGGAGTATATTCAAGTTTAATATGCAGTTTTCCGTCTTTCCCGTCAATTAAGTCTACCCAACAGTCTTTGGTGTAATTACCAGGCTGAATATGTTCCCATAAATTTAAATGATATTCACCAATAGTGACATCCTTGCCAATTGTATTAAAATCTCTAACTGCAAGTTCAATCTTCAAAGGCGAACCACTAGGATTTGGTATTTGTACAGAATCATCCCTGTTGCAAATAATGAACATTTATTGTCTTACTCAGCAAGCATCAAAATTTACTGTACTAAAATTTGATCGGCAAACTTACCATTTTGGTGTCAATGTTTTCTTAATATGTGGTGTTTTATGTAATTCTTTTTTATTAAGCTTGACCCTTACGTATGGGTCACTCGTGCCTAAATTTAAAATAGAGTGAACCATTTTTGCGTCAAAATGCCAATAAAATGTATCAATATAAATTATGAATAATTAGTTACCTCCTCTATCGTTTGCAATTAGATCTTTAGCCTCAATGAGATGCAAGGTCAAAATTCCGGGTTCGCCAATTTCTGTAAATTGTAAAAGGAGAAAAAAACATAAATAAAAAATTATATATAACAATAATATCTGCCATAAAGACGGAGTTAATAGAGACTTACCAGAAGAAGAATCTGTGCTAATTGTAGAGAGGCGATGTTCACTAGTACCTATAAAAATATTTCATTTAATTGTTTAATATGATCAAAAATGTATAGGTAGCATATATTAATTTTTCAACAGAGAATAATGTGTAAATGTACAATACCATTTTCTGCATTAATAGGTAAATCAACTGCAGAATTGATCTCTCTAGTCGGTGAATCATCAATCTTTAACTTGTCATCTTTTTCTTTTCTTTTCAAAAGCCCAAATCCAGACCCGACAGCACTTGCTCCAGAGCTTACAAAGCCTGCCCCAGTTCTAAGAAAAGTGTCCCCACCAGAAACTACAGTACCTCCAATGCCAGTGCCTATGTTAGTAAGTGTCCTTGTTGCACCAGCTAAAGTTCCTGTAGTCAACCTCTTCTTCGGGAGTAATTTTGGAGAGAAAAGCAATGAGAGATTGACAAAGCCAGCAGGCTTATGAGTTTTTGAGTCATACAATTGTACCCTTCTATCAACTTTTTCAAAGGTTGGCAATTCAGAAAGATCAAGTGTACCCTCGCCAAGTTTAGTAGTGGATTCGATTTTGTTCCAATCAAACACTTCAATAGAAAATTTGTCACTAATACGTGAGAGCTACAGGAAATTTTTGTATGCATAGATTAAATAAATAATAAAAGATTACCTAAAAAAAGATTGATGATTGATACATACCACATTTATTGTGAAATCTTCGTTCTCAAAGACAGGGTTCAAATTTTTTTTAACGACCTTTGTCTTATGAACTTTTTCCTCGTTTAGAGCAATAGTAGCAAAGGGGTCACTTGTGCCTTTGGTCAACGAAAAAAAAAAAACTTGAATTAATTGACTAAAAAATGTGTTAGAATTAATTGACGTTTTTCTATTTACCAGAACTATCAGCAGCAGGTAAATCTCCTGCACTCTTTACTGTTACTCTTAGCGTGCCCATGTCTATATTAAAAAAAAAAATAAATAAAAAAATTGGAACAATGCACGTCAAGTATTCATCATAAATTAAGCAATGTAAACCTGCTTACTATTGATGCTTTCCAAGGGATCTACTTTATAAATCATGGGTATAAATCTCACACCAATATTAAGTTTTGCGTTATTTAGGCCTTCAATATCGAGTGAAATATTATCAAGGTCACTTTTCTCCAATAAATTTCTCACATCCCTCACACAACAACCAATAGGAGTCTTGTGATCGGATATTTTGATGTGGAATGAAAGTTTTGCGAAATCCAATTCTTTTATGAAAACATCAGTGACTTTATACAAATGAATATATTAGTATAGTGATATAAGAAAGTTACATACAAACAACTGAAATTAATTACCTTGATTCCAATCAGGACGTGCTGTTTTACACCGGGTTGTCAAGAAAACAGGGAATAATCCATTATCAATATAAACTTCAACAGAAATATCTTTCTTTTCTATACTGGCTTCTTTGATATTAACAACCAATATTCCACAATCTAAAAAAAAAATGTAATAAAAGTAAGACAAATTATCTATAAAAAAAACAAATAGTTTTAAATGTTTCTTTGCCAAACCATATTTATCAAAATCTATTTTGTCATCATTTTTCTCGTCTGAAATTTTTTCTGCCTCTTTTTCTGCCTCTTTTTCTGCCTCTTTTTCTGCCTCTTTTTCTGCCTCCTTTTCTGCTTCTTTTTCTGCCTCCTTTTCTGCCTCCTTTTCGGCAGGACTCTCAACTTTTTTTGGGGGTCGTTCAGTGGGATGGAAACTTGCTGAATAAAAAAGATCACCCTTGTGCTCATTAGCAATAATTAAAGGTTTAGAACTACATTAAATTAATTTCGGTTTCTTAGCACTTATAAAATTTTGTTTTTACAAATATTCAACAGGTTATGTAATGAATACCCATCAAAAGGCTCAGTCGCTTGATAAGTTCCATCTTCGTTTTGTTGAGCCAGCTCACTCGCATAAAAGTCAACTGAACCAAAATCTTTGCTATCATGACTAAATATTTGTAGATTTATAGTCTCCTTCAAGGAATGTATAGGTATATAATGAAACTCATGCTTCCATTCTGGATTTGTGGTATCTACTACTACTTCGGTGCGACCACGGTAAGTAGCACTCAACCGAACCATTACAAATGGATCGACAGATCTTCCTGCATAATTCACAATTTGAAATATTGTTAACATTTCAATTAAATTGGTTTATTAAATTTGGAAAGAAATTTGATATAAAAATCCCAACCCATTATCTGTGAGCGCTTCAGAGCTTCAGCCCTTTTAATGTGAAGTCTGATCATTCCAATTGCATCCTCTGGAATAACAAATAAAAAGCATTATAGATTATTATAGCCAAAAGTCTTAATAATTGAAAAGTGTTTGAAGAAAATACTATACCGTATCCGCCTTGTCGAAATTCGTGGTCAAACATCACTGGCTTCCATGTACAACTTAATCTCAATTTACCAGATTGGGCATCAGTTACGTTAAACCAGTCGTTTTTCGTTGATGTTAATACATCAATAAAGTGTTGTAGTTTACCGCTCCAACTACCAACAACCGGATCAGTGGCAAGGTCACGCGCGTCTTTAACTTTGACAAATAACTCAGCAGCAGCTTTATTAGTGATAAACAATTCGTATGATTCCTTTCAATAAAAATAGATCATATAAAGGACACATTAAACATAAAGGATACATTAAATAAATATACAATAAAATAAAAATAATAAGTAATATTTTGAATATATTATACGTACTTCCCAAACTGGATTATTAATTCTTTTGAGGGTCCTTGTAGTAAAAACAACTTTTCCGTTAAGGCCTAATTCAGCATATGGATTATATTGTCCTACTATAGAATGTTTTGGATCAAGATCTTTAGCTTGATGAATTGTGAATCGCAAAACACCAGTATCTACAAAAAAAATTCGTTGAAAATAAGCGTTGAAATAAGGATTTACAATATAGATATTCGTAAACACAAGGAACATACTGGATTCTGGAGCTGGGTCTGTGGGAGTAGCTTCTACTACTGGATACCATGTTACACTAAACTTAATTTCTCCATGTTGTTTTCCATTAGATATCATCACTGGCATTGAACTATACGACAAGATAGCAAATAAAATACGATTAGCTTTGTGAAAAGATGATTAATATATAATAATAATAATAATAATAATAATAATAATAATAATAATAATAATAATAATAATAATAATAATAATAATATACTACTCTTACATATCTTCTTGTTTTGTATTTTCATCTAATGTTTTCAATGAAAACTTGGCATTGCCCAGTGTTTTATGTTTAGTAACTTCGTTGAAATCATATAATTCGAAGGTTAAGTCCTCCTCCAAGGAGGTTAAAATTAAGAAATATGTTTCATCCCAAACAGGGTTTAACGAGTCAAAAATTGTCTTTGTTTTAGCAAGTACTTTATTTCCATGTAAAGTCACTTTAACATAAGGATCAGAAGCACCGAACGTTTCAACATTCTTTAATCCTTTTGCACTCATGATTTTAAGCTTAAGCACGCCAAGAGCAGATTCTGTTAAAAAAAAAGAAGGCACTTTAGAACCAAATAATATGAATATGATAATGGTAATAATAAAGAGAATTTAATTTAAAAAAATAATTTTTTTTTTTTTTTTTTTTTTTTTTTTTTTTACCGATAGGATATCCGCCGATAAGGCTCTCAACATCTAATTCATATACTTGTGGAGCGTACATCATAGGACGCAATGTTGCATGAATTTGGTCTTGAATAAACGAATGTAACCCAGGAATCTAACAATATTGATGCCACTCAATTACTTCTTAAATTTAAGATAAATTATAAATAAATCAACGCCTTACATGGCTAATATCAAATCCAAGCATTTCACCACCAATTGGTTTCAATACATAATCTATCTTTGGCTCTTCCAAGAAACTTATGGAAAGAGTTTTGATATGTGGGAAAGCGTTTATTAACTTCAATTTGACTCGCATAACTCCAGATAAAGACATATCCTCAACTAATATAGGAATACCGGCACCAACCATGCCTCTTCCTACTCGAATCGTAAGAACAACTTTTGGGTTAACTTTATTTCTCAACTGAGCCCTTGTCATGTTTGCAAAGTCATTTGGATCAAAAGAAAGTTTCCAATCCATAACCTTAAACCAAAAATTACCATTAATTATAATTTTTATAATTCATAAAATAAGAAATTAACAATCTATCTATTGATATAGCAGTAATTTACCACAATATCTTCATCAGCCTCTGGGTGAGACTTAATAGACTCAATAGTTGCTGGTTTTGTACCTAATGTAAAAGTTGTCAAGCGAATTGAATCCAGGAAACCAGGGGTGCTGGCAGATAATATACCATCGGCAATTCCAACAATTGTTGATGATAATACAGGTTCGTATATAATCCAGAAACGGCGTAAAAATTCATTCATCCATTCAACTGATTCACCACTCATTACTTGAAGTTTTTCTCTGGCAAGTTCACGAGAAATATCACTACGAGCATTACGATAAAAACGTTTCATAGAATATTTATAGTATGTTGCTAATAAAAAAAAAGTAATTAGACAGAATGTTAAAAAAGAAATTATATTTATAATTAATGGAATTAATTCTTACCGACAAAAGCACAAATTATAATAATCCAATCAAAACCACCACCAAGAGAAGTAATTATCCATGTAGCAAATATTGAAACGAAAACCACAGTTGCATTCACCCAAAGCTTTCCATAATATAATTCGCTCAAATATTCGCCAAAAATATCATGATCATTATCAGTCTCAATAACTTCAGCGACGTCCCGCCAACCTATACGTGCCACCCATTTTGGAAGTCCTGAAGTAGGCTTTGCCTGAGAAAATTCGCCTGGTAAAGCTGAAGTCTTTTCTTCCTCTTTATCTGGAATTTGGTCTAAAGTTAAGTCAGAATGGACCCCTTTGATTGCTGGAGGTGGTTTTAAACCGACTTTAGCAGTTCCAGCAATTTGTTTTGCTTTTTCTTCAGGAGGAGCGTCAGGGTCAAATACATGTGTTGTAGCATTCTTAAGTTGTGGTTGTAGTTCATTCTCAAGCTGTTGACTTATATCGGCTACAATTTTATCTTTATCTTGTTCCATTATGAAAAAAAAAGAAAGAATTCTTGTTATAAAAAATTACGATGGAATTAACATTAATTAAATACTAAAATACTGAAATACGTGGGAAATATTGCATACCGATATTAAATAGTGCATTATCTAATAAAAAATCTTGGACTAAAATTGGCTTTCACAACAAATATCAAATTAAGCAAAAATTAACGAACTTTAAAATAAAAGAGGAAAGGATAACGCCGGCGTGAAACATAAGATTCCAGGCAGGCGTCGTTTATATTAAACGCCAATATACAATTATGTAATTAACTGTAATTAACGTAAAACTTCTCGTATGATATAAAATTTTAAAAATGACCTATGTACCCGTAAACCCAGGTTAAGTTTTATTCAAGATGTGAAAAACTATCTTTTTCAAATTGGATCAATTAGGACCCTAACAAAGGGTACATACAATTGAACTAAAGCAGTTGTTATATTAGGTATGTCACGTCCAGATCTTATCGTTATCGTACAGTATTGGTATAATTGAAAATCCATCTGCTTTAGTCGATCTTCGAGGTTTTAGAAAAATTTATCGTTACTTACTAATTGCTTACTATTGTATCTGCAAGTAATAAATTTTTATGACGGATAATAAACCGTCGATGAAATTTTATTTGCCATTATTGCTTCTACGTAGCGAATTTAACGAAATTTAATTATATTCGCATTTTCATCCGGATGTTAATGGATAGATCGATATATCACATGTCCAAATAAAAATTGTAACGCAACTTTATACGTATTATGTCCAATTGGTAATATTGTACTGTACAAGAATCCATTAAAGATTTATCATCAGAATTAACACGTAAGTGGGAATTTAAAATATATTTCTGTTTAGAAATTCCAAACGAAATCGATGTATTTTTCGTATTTTTCTGATGATATATTATCATATCAGATATATAAATAATAATAATAATAATAATAAATACGTCGAATTTAATTCGAAATCAGAAACCTGAAACATTAATTCTGAATCACCCTATTAGTATATGTTTATTTAGGGCGTTCTCAAGCACCCACCTCAATGAATTCAATAAAAAATCTGATTGGCTAGTTTGATTAAACTGACAAATCAGATTCGTTATAGAGTCCATTGAGGTAGGTGCTAGAGGAGAGGAGGAGGAGGAGCCGAATCCTTATATTTCGAATCAGAAAGTAATCAATCAACTTGAGAACACCCTTATCCTTAACTAAGCTACTGTTGCTACGTATTAGATTAGTTCAGTAAAAATTGCTAAAACCCGATCTGGAATCATTTGATATAAATCTATAAATAAACGTTGGTAAAAAGTATGATGTTTTATAATAATAATAAATACAAATAAAATAACCCTTCTTTTTGAAATTCAAAAATTCCTAACGCCAAAGATTAAAAAAAACTTAATATAATTTAATTCTGATGTAATTTTGTAATTTAAATCGGATCATATTAGGGTTCATAGGCAGACATTCGTATGATTGGCTGTTTAAGTCAATTTAATTTTACATTATTTATACAGTTTAAATTACTTTTCAAAAAAAAGAAAACTACGAAGAATAAACGAAAAAGAAGTATATAGAAAGTTTTATTGGGGTCGTAGAACTTCACTATTAAAAATAATCAAAATTCTTTTTTGTTTTAGAAAAGTTAGCATAACAACGACTTCTTAAAATTAGGTTATCGCCGTGCTAACTTCTCTAAAACAAAAAATAATTTTGATTATTTTTACTAGTGGAGTCCTACAACCCTACTAAAACTTTCTATATACTTCTTTTTTGTTTATTCTTCGTAGTTTTCTTTTTTTAAAAAGTACTTTAAACTGTATAAATAATGTAAAATTAAATTGATTTAAAC